ACAACTGCTTTATAAAAAAGAGAGTGCAGTGTACTGGTCACGTGGTACAGACAGAGACACATGACCACTATACTACATTTTATTTGGTGGAAGTACTGGTGACGTAATACGGACTATTAAATAATATTATCAATTATATCTTTTTAAATAAAAATAAAAATTATGATATAGTAATTGGAGAAAACCTAAGTTACAATTAGGTTTCTCTGTGATATCTTCGTGATTTGCTTTCATCATATACCCCCTTTAAATTTTCCTTTACAGTCCCTTTAAGTAGTATTAAAGTTTTGTTTGGCATAGAACATATTCATTCTGAAGACTGATGCTTATAGTTTTAATTTTACTTGAAGCTCTGACAAGCTTGGTAAAATTCAAATTTTAACTGAGAAACAGTCATTGTCGGATATATCAATACAATAAAGACGACTTTCGATTTCAATTATTGATTTTAAACAGCGCTGGATACACATGATACATGGAAACAAAGAGATTCTCTTTGAATTTACTTGCAAGCTTGTGATTTGAAACAAAGCTTAAATAGAACAATTGTTTTTATTATATTGATATAAACGCCGACGATTGTATTAGTTTTATTGTGAACAATTAAAAAGAGTGTAATAACTTATTTAATAATTAACAGTTCTTGGATTCCGGTATTTGAAAATAGTGAAAGAAAAAATTAAAAGAAAGTCTATAATAGGAGACTCAAGCCGAATAAATTAGTTTTTGACTTCTTTTTTCATTAATATGAATATATTGATATATTGATATATTGATATATCGATATATTGGTATATTAATATATTGATATATTGATATATGGATATATTGATATCTATAGATTCATGTTCCCAATTTACAATTTAATCAACGCTCCGGTTGAATACCAGGATTAGGTTAAAGAGAAAATTTTAGATCAAAGAAAATCATATTTTTTATTAATTAATCTGAAAAGATCTAAGAACTCGCGGAACATCCAATTATTAATGATAATTCATATTTTTTCTTTATTTGTAATTTGAACTGGGACAATTGCTTCATTCTTTTATTGAACGTAAATAAACAATTCCAGAAAAAGTTCATTTGTGGAATAGGTCGCCGAAATACAAACCGTGTGCTGGTTCAAAACTTGAATCACAGATTCAAAGGTAAAAAAAATCAAGAGGATTTGAACATGTGATTTGTAGGATTTAAACCGCCGGAAGGTAATTCAGCGACCAATTCATCAAATCTAATCCAAGGTCAAAGATGTTTAACTTATACATTACTCTTTCACAATTTTCAGTAACCCAATTTTAAAATCCACGATCTGTCCCTTTAATTAAGTTTTTGTTCTAGTGGTGATACGACAATGATAGATATGGAACTAACCGAACTATTCCGGGATCCGAACTATATAAAGTACTACAGTTTCTACACAAGGTAAACTGAACTATTCCGGGATCCGAACTATATAAAGTATTTGCAAATTCTAAACAAGGTAGCTAAGGTAAATTTGTATACCCTCCACTAGTGATTGGCAAAAACTTGATTTTCTTTAAAAGTTTTGTTAGTGATTTAGAAAAATGAAAAACAAAACGGTTGTTTTCAAAAACTATCGTTGTTGAAAAGAAAAGTTTTTTTGTTTAAAAAAGACATTTCATTAAATGCTTCAACTCAGAATTGCTTCTGGAATAATTTCCTCCCCTCGAGCATCCTTGAAGTTATCTCTGGATTTTAAGTAAAGACCAAACCATCTCACATCATTCCAAAGAACTCATCAGCATTAAACTTTTTTAAAAACAAAGAAGTTTTTCCAAATATAAAATTTTATCCTATTAATTTTGGCTTAAACTTCAGCCTGGTTCATCTTGAAATTAGCTCTTTATTACCTTTATTACCTAGAATGATCATCCTAGAGTTGTGTGAGCTTTTTTTGGTGTTACCAATTAACATTTTGGTCTTTTCTTTATACAAAAAAATGTGATTTAACAAAATAAAACAGAACACATTTTTGTTTAAGATAAAATAAAAGTTATATTAAAAGTAAAAAATGCAGAAAAATCTCCAAGAACATTTCATCCAACAAGAGTTAAGAACTAAGGGCCTTCTTTTCGGTTCCTGAAATATTTTTAGTTAATTTTCAAATAAAATCCTTTTTTGTGGAAGATTAGTTTAAATTAGAGTTAGATATATTTAAAAATAAAATCAATAGATAACTAAAGTTAATAGATAAGTTAAGAGATCTTAATTTAAGAGATTTGATGGAAATCAAATTAATTTTTACTTGGCTTGCATGTCAGTAATTGACTCTGTAGATGTTTTCTGAGTCAAAAAAGGTTTCATGGTTTCGTTTCCTTACCAAATATAAGGTTGGTCGTTTTGATTTAGAAAACATTTAAGAATACATGAATGAACGTTACTTACTGTGCAAAGAACCGAAATTAAATGTCAATTAACGATAGTTTTTTCATGAAAACGATCGTATCTTCGTTTTTTGTTTATCAAAAGTTCAAAACAAATGGTTCGTTCGTTGTGACCCATCGGTTATTCTAAAAATCGATACGATTAGAAAAACGATCAACGAAATTAAAAGCAATCGTTTATTCAATCGTTTATGAAAACGATTAACAACCCTTCTTACATGTTGATGTCTGTTGGGGAATGCTTGCTATATCTTGCTGTCTTCTGTCAATTGTGTCTGGTGATATGACTGTCTTATGTATAATGTTCACTTTTTTCGTCTGTTATTCACATGGTGATCCCACTTGTCTAACTTTCATATTCTCGAATTTATGTGATATTGTCTATCCGTTTACACTTTTTAAAATCTGTTATTCAAATGGTGTTCTCATTTGTCTAACTCTTTCATATTCTCGAATTTATGTTATATTGTCTATCCGTTTACACTTTTTAAATCTGTCTGTTATTGTTTTAACTTTTTTTTCTTTAAAATTATTTTAACTGTTTAGGCTAATCGCGACTGGTATAATTCCCGTTGTTTTCTTGACGTTTTTCAACATAAAGATATACCAGGTAACCACAAAGAATAAATGAAGTCTTTAAAATTAAAAAAAGTATAGAATTTAAACTTGCGACCCCTTCTTTTGTACACTCAAGTAATCCTCCTTTTTTCAAGAGTTATACCCGATACACAACGGTACCAGTATAATAGCTGTGTTGATTAAGAATGAATTAAATATCATTGTTTTTACTTCAAAATTTTGATTATTTTCATTGTGGTTTGTTTCTTAAAGTGACTTGTAGATCAGTAATACAGATACAACAGAGTACATTGTCTATAAAAAGATGATATCTTCAACAGAAAAGGGTCTAAAGAGTAACGTTGCGAATAAGAAATACCTCTCTATAATTGGAATTAGTTGAAATTACAATGACTGTACCTTTAAGATTTTTTTAAGTTTAAAGGGAGTGTTCACGAAAAATGAAAGGTGGTATAGGCTTATGGCGAAAAATAAGCGCTTTTGATTGCTACTAATCTTACTTCTATCTGTTGCGTCTATAAGGAGAAAATTGTTAAAAACGACTTATATCGAAGAACGTAGCCTCCATACAAATCCAGAAAGTTGCAACATTCAACTCGGATCGTAAAAAAACAATTTAATTCTATTTTTTATGATCTAATAGTTACTTTTGAAAACATTTATTCCTGTTTCGAGGATTTTTGATAATGAAGACGACATTTTCATATTTTCCAGGAATGTTCGAAAATCCAGCGCCAGCGAAATATTATTTTTTAAAAAATCAAAAATATTAAAAGATATTAACTATATAGGAAAGCGTCGAAAAATAATCGATGACTATCTGAATGATTTGTTTGGAATTAAATTGATTATTTCACGATCCGAGTTGAATGTTGCAACTTTCTGAATTTGTATGGACTGTAGCGTATAAGTCGTTTTTAACAATTTTCTCCTTATAGACGCAACAGATAGAAGTAAGATTAGTAGCAATCAAAAGCGCTTATTTTTCGCCGTAAGCCTATATCCCCTTTCATTTTTCGCAAACACTCCCTTTAAGGGCATCAAAGGAGTCCGAACTAGGATGGAACAGAATGGAGTTGGATCAAGAAGGTAAATTAGTAAAATAGTTGTTTGAACAAATATATTTTTATACTTGTACTCTTGTTCTATAGTTCAGACCCATAAAACTGTGAAATAAGAAGACGACTGTTATGATTTCAAATATAACAATAAACATGATGCACAGTTATAAAGGTTAGCCCCCTGTGGACAATTGACTGTGTATACCTCTGATTGCAAACGAACGGTTTTATTAAAAGAACAATTTTATTGAAAAACTGACAGCACTGAAACGAACAATATCTCTCAACAAAAGTTTGAAAGGAAACAAACGAAAAGAAAATTCGTTCATCAGGTTTTAAATCCAAAGCAAAACGAATTACGATCGTTTGCTATGATACCCATCTCTACATCTATAACCCAAGGAGTATTAAATAGAAGGGAGATACAACTGACGCGGCCCGCCCTACAATAAGATTATACATGCTTTGTATATACAATAACCTATTCTGAATTTTTTGCATACTCCTTGCTATGACCCCAGTATAGGCCTACATGACTGGTCACAATTTAATAAAAAGCCCCAGAAAAAAACCTAATTTTTTACGTTTAATCGACACAGACAAACAGACAAACAAGGCAAACATTTTAAATAAATGCATTGATTATATTGTCATTTTATATATAAAAAATAGTAGTAATCTTCTTTTCTTTGTATGTTTGTATGTTCGATCATAACTTTTAATTTGGAAACTCGTTAGAACAAGAAAATGTGTTTGAGTAAATTATCAAAGCTTCGAGTGGGTCGACTTTATTTTCGCACAAATGTGGGTTCCCAAACGTTTCTTTTTTTCGTGTATGAGCAACACGTGACATACCTAAATCATCCATTTGGGTGGTTTCATTTGAGAATCGATTTTTAAAAAATTATTGAATAACGACGACAAAAAATCACAAATCCCGCGCGCGTGGGATAACATAGGAAAAAAGTAAAAATATATAGGAAAAAAGGAAAAATATAAAGGAAAAAAGTAAAAATATATAAAGTAAAAAAGTAAAAATATAAAAGTAAAAAAGTGTTTGTCTCAAAACATATTTTCCAACCCAATCCAATCAGATAATAAAATAAAACAATATTTTTACTTTAACTTTTCCGTGTTGGGAGAGAGTTACAACTGCTTTATAAAAAACTTGACGGAACTAAATTAGAAAATGTATTTCGTTATATTACATATATCCTTCTCAATTTTACACAAAAAAATCATATTGTTTGAAAATACCAAAAAAATAGGAAATATACATTTAAAAACAAAAATAGCTGCATAGGAAATTTCTTTTTTAAAGATTTAAGAAAAGGAAAGAAAAGTGTTTTTTAGAAAAAAGATTAATAATTTCAAATCATTGAACCCCCAAATCTATTCAACCTATTCCTGCTGGAGGGGGGATGGGGCAATTAGACCCCCCTGTAGTTTTCTTTACATAACTTTAAAAGTATGGGTCTATGGATGTTAAAATTTTATGACTTTTCCTAAATACCAATAGCCCTCCTTTAAGGTTTAAAACCGGGCTTTTATAATAACTGCTTGAGTCATCAGACATACTGCCTGAATGAGAACCTTTTCCAAACTAAATCTTTGTTTTGACCCACTTTCAGTTGTCAGATTTTGAGCTTTTTGGAAAGTCTATGATATAAGAAAACAGATTGCACAAGTTTTGCAAAGAAATTTTGCAAATTATTTGCATAGAACCCATCAAAAGAAATTTGCACATTTTTAGTTATTCTTAATTACATCAGGTTATTTACATCAGATTTTGCAAAAACTTTTGCATATTTGAAATGGCAAGGTGAAAAGGTCTTTTCAAAAATGTATATTTTACAATTTTTTTGCAAACACTATTCCTGGATTTTGCTGAAATTTTTTTTTTGTTGCAAATTTTCAGTTTTTTTGCAGAATCTAAAAGTATAGTATAAGAGTCTTCCAGTGATGTATCATTTGCCATATTTGGACATCAAACATGGGATTTAGGGNAATGTGTATCATTCAATTCCTAAAAAAAGGGATATGAAAATTTTCAACTGTGTGTCTAGATTTCTCTATTTGAAAGGATATGAGATTGTCTCTACGTAATGAAAAATATCAAAAAAAGATATGAATGTGTATCATTCAATTCCTAAAAAAAGGGATATGAAAATTTTCAACTGTGTGTCTAGATTTCTCTATTTGAAAGGATATGAGATTGTCTCTACGTAATGAAAAATATCAAAAAAAGATATGAATGTGTATCATTCAATTCCTAAAAAAAGGGATATGAAAATTTTCAAGTGTGTGTCTTGATTTCTCTGTTTGAAAGGATATGAGATTGGTCTCTCTACATAATGAAAAATATCAACAAAAAATATGAATGTGTATCATTCAATTCCTAAAAAGAGGGATATGAGTTTCGAATTTAAAAATTTTCAACTGTGTGTCTTGATTATAAACCTCTTATTTTTTTCTTATGCAATTAGCACAAGTAAATATTTACATATATATCATTATTTTCCCCAAAAAAGGCTTTTTATACAAACACCATGGAGGACACTCCCTTACCCCATACCGGAAAAACCATTCGGAGTACGTCCTAAAAAAGCTTGAATGTTTTTTACTGCTGTAGGAGGGGGAAGGGGGTGGTGTAAGACCATAAACTTTTAATTTGAAAAAGCTTGTTAAAAATAAAGCTTAAATAGAAAAGTCGTCTTCATTGTATTGATTTACACGTCGACCACTGTAGTTAAAAAAGTTTCTTTAGACAACAGGAGGCAATAAGTGAACTGAATCTTGCAATCGTCCTGGTCTGTGTGGTGGTCGTCTTCCTTATCTGTCATATACCTCGTATTCTTCTCAATATGTTCGATGTTCTTCATATCAACGATATTCTAAGGTATAGATAGTTTATCACATCATATTCTTAGGTATTGATAGTCTACCATATCAACGAAATTCTAAGGTATAGATATTCTACCATTTCAACGGTTTCTAAGGTATAGATAGTCTACCATATCAACGATATTCTAAGGAATAGTCTACCATATCAATGTTATTCTAAGGTATAGATAGTCTAACATTTCAGTAATATTCTAATGTATAAACAGTCTGCCATATGAACGGCATTCTAAGGTAAAACATCAACCATATTCTTAGGTATAGATAGTATAATATATCAACGATATTCTAAGATATAGATAGTCTACCATTTCAACGGTTTCTAAGGTATAGATAGCCTACCATGTATCATTATATTCTAAGGTATAAATAGTCTGCCATATCAACGATATTCTATGGTAAAGATAGTCTAACATATAAACAATATTCTAAGGTATAGATAGTCTGCCATTTAAGAAATATTAAAAGGTATAGCTATAAAATACCATATCAACGAAATTTTAATGTATGGATATTCTACCATGTCAATGATATTCTAAGGTATAGATATTCTACCAAATCAGCGATATTTTAAGGTATAGATATTCTACCATATCAACGATATTCTAAGGCATAGATAGTCTACCATATAACAATATTCTAAGGTATAGATAGTCTACCATATCAACGATATTCTAATGTACTCTACCAAATCGATATTCTAAGGTATAGATAAATAGTTTACTTAACCTGTGCGATATTACTGTATAGAAAGTCTACCCCTGTAAAACATCCAGGGTTAACCCTATTTATCCTGGGGGTAGTTTCAATTTCCCCCCCCCCCCCATCGTCTTTTCAGAGTGTTTGAGCTAGGAAACTCAAATTTTCTGACTTTTCTAACTAACATATGCTTATCACTTAAAACAAAAAGCTGTGCATACCCCCTCCCCCAAGAGTATTCTGGTTTTTAAGTACCTGCAAAGATAAGGTTAATATTGTTAATATTTTACAAGGAAACGGAAAGGTATTTCTCGGAAGAGCATGAGCATGATGACATAATTAAAGGATCTGCATCTATATGCGTATATATATGCGTAATTTCAAAAGTTAAATGTCCGATTTAAAACGATATCCTTAAGAGCTTTGTGTGATGAAGAATTATATCCGTGTTTATAATTTTAAAAACTTATTATTTCTAAATTTGATTTCTTTAGTCTTATGAATAAACATATACTTTTGTATTAGCCAATTTAGATTCCTTTAATAAAAGCTGGATTTCTTATGTGTAACAATTTTGCTTTTAATACAGTGGTAGGCGATAATATCAATACAAGGAAGACGATTTATAACAAGCTGTTAAACAGCATGGATACACATTACATATTAACATAAAAGTCAAGAGAAGCAGTCAGTTAAAAAAGGATCTCTGCTGGGATACTTGAAACCAGGATACGGTGGGGGTGGGGGAGGGTTAATTTGACCCCCCCCCCTCTAAATCCCACGTTTGATGTCAAAATATGACAAATGACACATCATTGGAAAGCTCTCATGCTCTACTTTTAGAATTTACAGTAAATAAAATTTGCAAAAAATATTTTTTTTACAAACATCAAGATATATATTAAATTGACCTCCCCCCTCCTCCCCGAGGAATAGGGTTAATGACTTGTAAGTTGTAACCTTGGTCTTTGAAAAAAGTTTGTTAACAATCAAAACTTAAATAAAAAGTTGTCTTCATTGTATTGATATATTCGCTTACCACTGTCTGTTTGAATAAAATTAAAGGGCTTCATTAAAATCCTTTATTGCAACATATTAAAATTATCTATTCGACCTTCTTCAGTGTTTTCATTATTATTCTGCAGAAATATCAATGAAAAATATTTAATTTATTTCATCAGTTCAAAGTTCTTTAAATATTCTTTTCATGTTTTCATTTGAAAAATGGTTTGCAATGAGTTTTACATGTATTCCGGAAAGCGAAATGAGTTTTAAATCTTTAAGATTTGCCAATTTATTCTATTTTAAAATCCTAAAAACAGAGGCATGAATAGTTAACTATGCAGAGGGACCATGGAGGACAGTAGGTATAAAAAGCCTTTTTTTCGCCAAAAAATGATTAATATTTACTTCTGATAATTGCTAACAAAAAAATAAGAGGTTTATGTTAATATAAGTCATTACGAAATAAAAATATGCACTTAAACAGGATATTCAGATTTTAAAATGTTCAACTGTGTGTCTTAATTTCTCTGTTTGAATGGATATAAGATTGGTCTCTTTACATAATGAAAAATATCAAAAAAAATATGAATGTGTATCATTCAATTCCTAAAAAGAGGGATATGAGTTTCGAATTTGAAAATTTTCAACTGTGTGTCTAGATTTCTCTATTTGAAAGGATATGAGATTGTCTCTACGTAATGAAAAATATCAAAAAAAGATATGAATGTGTTCTTTATATCTTTATATCTTTATATCCTTATATCTTTATATCTTTATATCTTTATATCTTTATGTCTCTATATCTTTATATCTTTATCTCTTTATATCTTTATATCTTTATATCTATGTATCTTTATATCTTTATATCTTTATATCTTGATTTTCTCTATATCTTAATATTTTTATACCTAAAATAAACGTTATTCTTTACATAAATTATCATATATCAAGAGGAATGTTTTATATATTATTTTAAACTTCATAATAAATATTTATTTTAAGATGTGAGGGAAAATATGAGTCTCCAGCCTGGTTTAAATGTATGGCAGGGTAAGATTTTTATTTAAAGTGTTTACGATGAAATTAAAATGTTTTGTATCTTTTATTAATTAAGTTTAATATTCATTTGAATCAATTATATGTTCACTAGATGTTTTTGATAGTAATGAAATAAAATAGAGAATAATTTTTATCTTGATTAATCAAAATTAATGATTTTTTTTTTCGTTAGAAATTTTTTTTCTGTTTTCTGCCAATTATCCACGACTGGAGTAAACATAAATAAGAAATGTGTTCTTAGATCAAAGAGTTACGAAAAAAGGGAGCCTTTCTTTGTAAAAATAATACAAAAAATACCTCTCCCATCTAATTAACTTTATAATTATAAACCTAAAGAAATCTTTACATTTTCTGTCATTTTAATTAAGACATATTCTGTATAAAAATAGTTAATGCTGGAGCGATAGATTAGTTTATAATTACTATTTATTAATTGTAAATTTTCGACGCAATTCTCAGTGACCTTTTATAAAAAAAGGGAATGCTCTGATATTTGAATAATATTAGAGGTAACAATGTTTATTCAGAGGATCGTATATTCTTCTCTTATAAGGTAGCGTCTGCTTAAAAAATCAACTTTAAGCAACCCATTATAAGGGTTGGCATGTACAATTCTCAGCAGTACTCTTTAAACCTGTTTCTCGGTAAAACTAAGGAGCTGATACCGTCGTTTGCCTGACAACTACTTGATTATTACTATTAGCCTTTGAAGCAAATACCAGCAGGTAGTGTTTACAGAGCGCATACACGTGAACTAATCAATTTTTAGATAGAAAACTACGAATGACTTCATAAGATGGGAATCACTTCTGAAAACGACTTATGGGTTATTCTTAATTCAATTTTAAGTGTTAAGTTTTTCAAAATTAGAATCAAGCGCATTGTAAGATAGAACAATCACTTGATCTTCCTCATTGTAGCTTAGTCCAATGTAATGTAGAAGTAAAGGGTACCTTAGTAAATTGGGCATGCCCCCCCCCCCATGGAAGGTCACTTGAAATTACATCGGCACTGTCTTTCATTTTAAAATTTTGTATATAGGGAGGGTCACTTGAAATTACGGTTACAGTCCCTTTAAGTGTATCTCTTTATTTCAGGTTTAATCATCTTCTTCTTATTCTGAACAGTTCCTGCAACTTTATAATCTACTGCTCGTTAAACCAAAGTAAGTTTTCACAGCGCACTTTCTAAATTAATTCAATATATGTATTCTGATGGATCAAATCGTCAAAGTTGGATATATGCCCAAGGTTCACAACATCAGAGCCAGCGATTTAAAAGCTTCGGTTGGAGTCGATATTCCTTAAATCCAGCTTTAAGACCGAATCTTAGACCCAATTTTGACGACAGCTTGTGTCAATTGATTGACAGCTGCAAGATCTTAGGCTTGACTTACGGAGTTAGGCCCAATGAAAATAAAACCGACCTTGGTTGGTTTCAGCAGTTTATAAGGCTCAATGTTGAATCTTGTTCTCATCAAAACCCAGAATGCGGTAATTCCAACCATGAAAATCCGCCAAGTACAAAATTAAACCGGTTTTATGAACTCAACTCTGTGCAAAATTTAATGCAACTTAAATTGAAAGCCTAAGCCGTAAATAAGGCCCAACGGCAGCTTAGACCTGAATCTTTTAAATCGAGGTCTAAGAGGTCGAAAATTTTGTTTAATCTTGAACGCTTGATTTTGATATCAACTGGGGGCACTTTTAAATTTGAGGATCAGTGCTTGATCCCTCAATTTAAGTTATCCCTGCGGGACATGACCACTTCAGGATATCGAAGAGGAATTCAAAAATTATGTAGGTCTCCATAAGATGAAGATCAATGCTTTTTCCTGAGACTCTGACAAATCAAAATATTTGCCGCCAGTTGCATTTTAGGGTTTTTTTGAGTTCGTGGCAAAAATGTGTTCCATTGGCCATTATTCTAACAAAGTAAAGTTCAATTTATGCAACAATTATTGAGACAGGGCCGACTTGAACTGTTGCTAACTTATGCTCTTGGTTTAACCCTTAACATAATTTTATTTGTTTCTCTGACACACATCTTTTCTACCTGGAACAATGGTGTCTTTCCTGGAACACGTAATTCTTCCGCTAGACATTTTATTCCTTTCTAAGGCACTGTATTCCTTTCTTTCCTGAGATTGAGGTATTCCTCAATTCGACACTATTCTTCCCATGGAACTCAGTATTCTCCAATGGGACACTTTATTTTTTCCTGGGACATGTTATTCTTCAGAAACATATATTCTTCCCTGGAACACTTTATTCTTCCCTCGGACATGTTATTCTTCCTTTGGACACTATATTCTTCCCTGGAACACTTTATTCTTCCCCATGAGAACAATAAAGGGTCCCAGGTAAGAATAAAGTGTCCCAGGTTTAAGAATAAAGTGTCCCAGGTTTAAGAATAAAGTGACCCAGTTTTAAGAATAAAATATCCCAGGTAAGAATAATGTGTCCCAGGTAAGAATAAAGTATCCCAGGCAAGAATAAAATGTCCCAGGTAAGATTAAAGTGTCCCAGGTAAGAATAAAATGTCCCCTGGTAAGAATAAAATATCCCGGGTAAGAATAAAGTGTCCCAGGTAAGATTTAAGTGTCCCAGGTAAAAATAAAATGTCCCAGGTAAGAATAAAGTGTCCCAGGTAAGATTAAAGTGTCCCAGGTAAGAATAAAATGTCCCAGGTAAGAATAAAATGTCCCAGGAAAGTATAGTGTCCCTCAGAAATTTTCCCTCATCCCAAATATTGGTGTTGTAAAAGTATTTTGAATTCAGTAATGCAATCTCTTTAAAAATGAGAAAATCCTTGAAAAGCTGAAATATTCTTGTCAGTTGTGCGTGTGGAGCTTATGAAATTTTGGAGAACCAAATTTATCTTATGAAAGTTGAAAAGAATATCCATTTTAAAAGAGAATAAAGGTTTTATATCTAGACTGAGCTAAATCATAAAGAATTATCTGAAATAAAAACATTTTCTGAAAAGGTTAGTTCAAAAATGAAAATCATAATGAAGAACCTGCTGCATGCCAGTCCATTAGCGCCTGATCCAATCAGGGTTCCAAAGAATCAGTTTTGCCAATTACCAGCAATGTGTTTGTTGTCTATTCTGAACAGATAGAAATTTCATGGCGGTTACATCTATCTTTCTTTCTAGCGAATTATCCAATTAAAGATAAATCCTTATGACAGTAAAAAGAAATAATTACGTCTACTGAAACTATAGTGCACAGTACACTTGAATTTTTAACGTTGTACAAATATCAATAAAAAACTAGGTTTTTAGCAATAGATTAAATATACTTAGGTATGAAGATAGGTAGAAATAATGAGTTGTTTAGCAACACCACCCTTGCAATTACGCGTGGCAATTTATCATGTTGCTGGTTCGTTCGTTCTTGAAATTATCGCTCATATTTCATAAATTTCGTTCGTTTTCTCGATGATCGTCCAGTAAAAGTGTTCGTTTTCCATGCAAAGTTTCGTTTATTCTTAAAAATTTAATTCGGTCAAAAAAATTATGTCCATCTCTACTTTAGCATCAACAATGAAAGATCTATTATATAACTGGAGGACGAATATGAAGGCATTTTAATATGTTGCTGGTTTATGCGTGAAAATCCAAAATGTGTACTGTATACCCATAAAGCTGTAAAATATAAAGACAATTGTATTTGTAGTTCAACACATAGAACACATCAGCAATTGTGCAGCAGCAAAAGTTAGCAATAAGATTTCTTAATTGCTTTCTTCTTATTTCACAGTTTTATGGGGATCACTGTACATCTGTTGATAAAAAATTCAAAATTATTTCACAATCTAGTGGGATTAGAATACTTATCTTTAAGTTAAATTTTCTGTTAATAGTTATTCTTTGAAACCTTGTACAATCCCTTTTCTAGAATTGTTTTTGTTAAAAATTACAAAAATAATTATTTTGTTTATTGGTTAAATTTATCCATCAGCTTTTTAATATGCAACTTTTTCTTAACAGTACTTTTCGTTCAGAAACAAATTTAGAACTTTATATTTCCATTTGTTAATGGAACTTTCCAACAGTTTGGATTATTTCTTACTAACCATTAACTATGTTTAGATGTGAAAGAATACCTCGTTAAAGTAATTTCACGACTAACGCTAAGGTTCAGGGTAAGCTTTAAGTAAAATTATGAATAAACAGCATAAAAGAAACAAAAAAGAGAAAATAAAACTTTGGGATGTTTTGAATTTTTAAGATTGTGTTAAATGACTGTGTATAGCTTTTTTTACAGTCTTTAGCGAATCAAGAAAGTTTGATTTTATAAGAATTATATGTAAATTAAACGCTATTCTTTTCCTTACTTAAAGGAAATGAGTTTTTGTCGCAAAAACTAATATTGTAATACCTATATCTCTGGAACCCGATGTCGTAGACCTTAGATATTTCAAAGTATGAAATTTGTTAGATCACATAATTTAAGTTTAAAATATTAAAGGTTTACATCGTTAGGTTGCAAAGATATAGAAATTTAAAAATTTGAGTTTGAGGCAAAAACTCAATTCCTTCGACCTTAATAAAAGAACATTAGTACGTATCGAGGCGTAATATATTCTAAAAGTGGCCAAAGTATGTGTGCAATTTTCATAATCTAGCTTATCTTGAATATGTTCTAAAGATTTCTATTTTAACCCTATCCCCCGGGCTATTTTTTTTATTTCCCCTGAATGTGGAAATAGTGTGTTAATTCTTTCAGAATATTTTGGACCCTTATAGGGACTGCAATGCCCGATTCACAATGGTAACCTTGAAACATTTCTCTTATCAATATGTAATGTGGAAGATATTGTCGTTTTTCTTTGCTCAAATGTTCATAATTTTAAAAGATGTTAACATGGCATAATACAGATATTTTTTAGTTTATGGGAAGGGAGGAGGAGAACCATGGAATAGAAATTCAAACACTGGCAACTACAGAGGTTTAGTGTTTATGCATTATGCAGACAATGGCAACTACAAAGGTTTAGTGTATATGCATTATGCAGACACTGGCAACTACAAAGGTTTAGTGTATATGCATTTTGCAGACAATGGCAGCTACAGAGGTTTAGTGTATATGCATTATGCAGACACTGGCAGCTACAGAGGTTTAGTGTATATGCACTATGCAGACACTGGCAGCTACAGCTAGAGGTTTAGTGAATATGCACTATGCAGACACTGGCAGCTACAGCTAGAGGTTTAGTGAATATGCACTATGCAGACACTGGCAGCTACAGCTAGAGGTTTAGTGAATATGCACTATGCAGACACTGGCAGCTACAGCTAGAGGTTTAGTGAATATGCACTATGCAGACACTGGCAGCTACAGCTAGAGGTTTAGTGAATATGCACTAAGTAGACAATGGCAACTACAAAGGTTTAGTGAATATGCACTATATGCAATTATAGAGGTTTAGTGTAGTTTCATACAGAAGTTGAATCTTAGTCCATGTGAGCAAAGTCCTTTGACAAACAATTTATTTAAGCTTATTCAATCAAGATTAACTTGTCTTGCCTGGCCAAATTTGTTAAGAAATTAAAAACTGAGCCAAAAAACAATAATTTTTTAAAAACATTTTACTCCAGGCAATGCAATTTTTATGAATAAAGATTTAGAAATTTCAATGTTTACTTTAAATTTAAAGATAAAACAAAAATATTGCGAAAGTGTTAAAAATCATTCTCAGAACAACAAAATAAAACTATTATAAAATACATTTTTTTAGTAGAAAAATTCTATTCACGTCCAAGGAATTCTTTTAAGAGAATAAAATTGTAAAATAATTTTCCTTTGAGACGATTTTAAGAAGTTCGTCTGCAAATTTTGGTGTCTTAATGCTAAGAAAAATTTATATATTAACTGTTTTTGCTACAAATCAAATTTTCAATATTTGAGAATCAAATTTTGATTATCCATCCTGAGAAAGTCATTAACAGTCCCTTCTTCTCTCCTTCTTACAACCTTTAGCAACAACAACGTTTAATGTCTAACTGTTGGTTCGTTCATCGTTTGTTCTTACAAAATATTGTATTGTTCAAAGAGATTTGATTGAAAATACGTACATTTTTGAAAAGTGGGGTTTTCAATATTATTTATTGCATTTTACAGCACAAAGAAAAAATATTAAAATCTTTTGCATAGAAAAATTAAAATCTTGAAACTTTGATTTTCGAATGGCTATATCTTTGCAACTAATGATGACTAATTTTGACATTTTAAACCATGACTGTCTGAGGTTGGTTTGAAATTTTAAAAAAATTATCACATCAGGTTACACAGATATAAGGATTAGATAATTAGAGGTTGTCGACTTCCAAGAATTCATATGGTTCTTTTTAAACAAAATGTTTAATGGGTAATAAGCGTAATTTAAGGTAAAGAAATTGAGTCTTTGTCACAAACTCTTAATTTTTAATCCTTATATCTTTGCATCTTTATGGCAAAGACCTTTGAAAGTTTATACTATTAATTCTGTTTGATCAGATTACCTAAAAATATCAAAGATTTTCACCATTACGTTGCAAAGAAATAGGGATTAGACAATTTGAGTTTGTGGCAAAGACTCAATTCCTTTCCATGAAAAAATGCCAAAATGCACGGTCACTACCCTTTTTTCTGATAATTCTATAAATATTTTCCTGCAGTAGAAATGCAAAAAAATCAGTTTTCAAAATCTCAAAAATTGATATCTAATTCATTCTCGTTCAGGCAAAGCTTTTAAAGGCACCGTTGTACATCAAGCATTTTCGTTTTCATGTAGGGTCACTTCAAATAGAGCTTACAGTCCCTTTAAATGTTTAAATTCTTTGTAAATGTAATTGTGTGATCCAACCATGGAACAAATAGATATAATAAATGTTATTGTTGTTTTTTGTCTTGTTTTTACTGGCCATCTTGTTACCTTTACATTCCATTCTTTTAATAAGAAAAATGTTAAATTTATGAGAATTTATTGGCTAAAAGAAATTGAGTCTTTGCCACAAATAACAGATCCCTTCATCTTTGCAACCTGCTGGTGTAAACCTTTTATATTTTAACCCTTGATTGTTTGATCCAACGTAATTCAAAGTTTGAAATGGCTAAGGTCTACAACATAGGGTTGCAACGATATAAGGATTATACAATCTGAGTTTGTGGTGATTCTTTTATTTGAATTAGTGCACTTCTTAAACTAAATTTTACATTTTTCCAGGAAAGTTTTCAAGTTCTATTATTTTATGTCTTTACACTTAAATCTCATTAGTTTAATAGAATACTAATTCGGTTCTCTTTATTTTTTTCCCCCCCTCTATTTTACAACCAGTGAAATTTTGTGAGTTTGCTTTCAAAGTTTGCTGTTTAAAAGGACTGTAAGCGTAATTCCCTGTGACCCTCAATTCAAAGATAGCAATGCCCTTGAAAACTTAGTCTGATCAAGTATGAATTAGATATCCGTGTTTATTTAAATTGTTTATTTTTATTTTTGGTTTTGCGCAAAAGTGGCGTGCACATTTTCTACTGCGAAGAAACAATGAAGAAATTGTCTGAATTAACACTTTTCTAATCAAAAGACAATTTTATCTTTCACAGTTTTTATCAGATTAAGGTTTTAAGGGAATCCTTTTTAACTTGGGCATCAAATTACATGGAAATTGAAATTACGCTTACAGTCCCTTTAAATTAAAGAAATTACGCTTACAGTCCCTTTAAATTAAAGAAATTTAGCTGATCAATTTGTTTTGCCGATTTAATAAACTCAATTTCAAGCCTGAAAAAAATAATAAAAAAAGAATATTGTTACATACAGTACAACTTCAAAGCCTTTTTCTTTTTTTATTTGATAAAATTGTTTTCTTTCAAAAAATTTGTTTATGTTAGTTTAAATTTAATTCTCTTTTACCTCCATACTTACTCAGTTTTGGTTCATGGTGAATTATATCTAAATATAACTTTATTTCAATTCAAAAGAATACATTTTTTGTCCTTTCTAAACCCTAAATAATTTAAATCTTTCAATTTTTCTTAAGATTTACTTTGATTAGGTATAGAGGTATATAGATTTATATATTTTGTATTCTCTACCTTCTCCTTAATAAGTGGATGCTATGTTAATGTAATACACGCTGTGCAGTGTTTTATAAACCTGGCCAAGAGTGTTACAAAAACTTTTTTACTATTTTTTTCTCCATTAAATTATCTCAGAAAAAAATGTTTAAAACTATTTATTTGCAAACAAACATAAAGCATATTTCTAGCAAAAATACGACCAAGGATAAAAGGATTCCGCCAAAAAGCACCAAAAAGGCGGCCTAAAAACAAAAAAAAATACTTTTAAAATACATTTTTAAGGGACTGTAGGTGTTATTATTCTTAGCCTTCATGTCCAATTCACGATGGTACCCTTTAGGCCGGATCAAAATCAACAAAATAATCCCCTTTGGCGCACATTTCTTGATTTAACTAGATTGTTGAATATATGATAAGCTGCTTGGGAACCTGGGAAATAGCCTTTCGCTTTAAAAAGAAAATCCCAATCAACTTATTATTTGACACCAAGCTAAGAACATGCCCCCCCCCCCTCTGGCAATGGTTCTACTGAATTTTCCCATGCACATATGAGGCAACGCCAGACTTCAGGGGGTTCATTAGTTATTTGATCCGACATAAAAACAAACTTTATGTATATACAGATAAATTTGAGATTAAAAGTTTTATGAATCATATACAATCACATTTTTCATTCATAGAAATGATATTTTGTTTGAATGATGTGGTTTTACTTTTACCTTTTCGGTTTAAATTCAAGATTTGTAATCCCAAAATAAGTGGGGGATTATACCAGGAAAACAGGAATAATTAGTAATAACGTATTTTACAGCTGTGAAAAACACTTATGTTTAGCTTAAAGGAACTGTCAGTGTAGTTTTAATTAACCCTCCATGCAAAAAAGCAATGTCCGATTGACTTAACGGTACCTTCGCAACCTTGATCTGATTTCAAATGTAGAAGATAACGACGGTTTTTTCTGACTCGAAAAGTGATATTTCTGTGAATTTCTCCATTGTTTCTTTTAAGCAAGAAATGAAAAGATCACTTTATAGTAGAGAAACCCACAAAAATGGAAATATAAACAGTTTAAATAAACAGAAACATGCATATAATTCAATCTTTTGAGAATACCGTTGTGAATCGGGTATTGTCAAGAATGGAGTGCCCCTTAAAATTATGCCATCAGTCCCTTTAAAGTACCTGAAGATGGTAGAGATTAAGCCTCTCCTCAGAAGCTCCTGTTGAACTATGCAGCTTCTCCTGAGCAGCTTCAACCCCTGCAGCTGCTGATCTACTCAGCAGCTCTGACTCCCATTTACCAGGAATCCCAGCCTTAAAGGGAGTATATTACCTTACACTGTACAATTTACACTTTACACTGTATGCTGCACACTTTACACTGTACACTGTATGCTGCACACTTAAAACTGTACACTGTACACTGCACACTGTTAACTGAACATTGCACGCTGTAAACTGTACACTGGATAATGCACACTTGGCACTGCACAATGCAGTTTACACTGTATGTTACACATTTCACACAGTAAACTGTGCACTGTACACTGTACACTGTACACTGTACACTGCACACTGCACACTGCACACTGTACACTGCACACTGAATACTGTACACTGTACACTGTACACTGCACACAGCACACTGCATACTGTACACTGTACACTGTACACTGCACACTGCACACTGCACACAGCACACTGCACACTGCACACTGCACAATGAATGCTGCACACTTTACACTGTAAACATGTTCACTGATCACTGCACATGTCACACTGCACACTGCATATTGTACACTGCAAACTGAGTACGGCAAATGTACACTGTAAACTGTACACTGCACATTGCAAACTGCACATTGCAAACTGCACACTGCTACACTGCAAACAGCACACTGCGCACTGTACACTGCAAACTTTTAACTGCAAACTGAGTACGGCAAATGTATAACACTGTACACTGCTGACTACACTCTGAACACTGCAATATGTATACTGCATACTTAACTTGCTATATATTGCAAACTGCACTTTTAATTTATTTTTATCCCAATACCGCTGATGGTTTTCTGACAGTGAACTCTTTAGTCAACTTTGTTTACCGATTAGTGTTGAATCCATGCACAAAGACAGCTAAATGCTATGTTAAACAAAACTGGCGTGAAAGAACTTCAAAATTGCGCATGTCACCATATAGACTTGGAAAAGATTTTAATATTAAAAAGCCAAGATTTAGTGGAATAACAAAGCATGGTTGCACACAAATTATATTTTACATTTTAACGATACACATGATTAATGTTGGACCAACTAAAGTTTATCTAAATTCACACAACATTCGCCTTAAGCGAATATATACCCATTCAACTCTTCCGATCAGATGCTTCGTGCTAACTGGTGAGTCTTAGGGAACCCCAGATAAAGTGGTCGCCAACTGTCTGCTTTCTTTGCCGTTTCACTCCTTTCTCTAGCATCTATCTTACCCTAGCTGCCCTTTAAAACGCTTTTTAAACGGGACTGACTTGGCATCTCTAGATGAGACAGGGGGTTCAATACCCTTTTGGACTGCATTTGGATTATTTGGCTTTATTCTTATGTGAATTTGTTAGGCATTATTTCTCCAATTGGAAGCAATGAACTTATATGATACTATGTAAATCTGTATGAACCCTTGGTTGGGTTCACAATAGCCTAGAAATCTAACCAAATTTTAGGAAATAATTAATAACCATTTAAACCCTAATAAATATATGCAGAATGGAATTGAGTCTTTGCCACAAGCCCTGTTTTACTAATCCCTATACCTTTTCAATGTTGTAGACCTTATATATATTTCAAGCTATAAATTCTGTTAGATTAAATCATCCTTAGTATGAAATATCATAGGTATACAACATTCAGGACGCAAAGACATAGAGATTGGACAATAATAGTTTGTGGCAATAAAATATGTTACAGGGGAAAAATTCCAATTGTTGCAGAACCCATTTTAAAACGGAATTAAAAAATCTATTTTAGACCACCAAGGACATAGTTGAAGGAATTCGAGAGAGGTCGCTGAACAACCTACCGCTGGATCAAATCCTGAATCACCGATTCAAAGTAAAAGATAATAATTGGATTTGAATCGGTAATTTAGAATTTTAACTCGTAGGCCGCAGTAGGTAATTTTTAGCAAACTATACAATTCATTAAATGCATTTTTTGTAATTCCTTTATCTTTGCAACCTGATGGTCTAGACCATTGATATTTCAAAGTTTGAAATATCTAAGCTCTTGGACATTGGGTTGTAAAGATATGAGGATTATAAAATCAGAGTTTGCGGCAAAATGGCATAATTTATTTGGTTCCTGGTATCAACCTAAACGGAAAGAGAAAGTAAATTTATCCAAATAATTGGCACGACTTAGTGACCTTGTAGCGCCTCTAGATTTGATTTTACGTAAAAGTATGAAAACATAAATATTCGGTTTTATTAAAAAAATTAGTGCATCAATAAGAGGAGATATAGATTTTAATTATTTTACGTTAGTTTGACGTGCCCTGACCTGATTAAGCCTGTGAAAGATATTGTTTAGAACTGGTCTAAATAAAGCTCCAGGTTTCAAGGCCCAGGCTTCAGGAGCAGGACTGTTAAATACTTCCCGGGCCTAAAATAGTAATATTTCTAACGTAATTTTCATATTGAGCTACCGTAATTTTCATATTTAAAGGGAGTGTTTGCGAAAAATAAAATGGGGTATAGGCTTAATACGATAAAAAAGCGCTTTTGATCGCAACTAATCTTACTTCTATCTTTTGCGTCTATAAGGAGAAAATTGTAAAAAACTCACACCGAAGAACGCTGCGTCCATACAAATTCAGAAAGATGCAACATTCAACTCGGATCGTAAAGAAATCAATTTGATTCCAAACAAATCATTCAGATAATACAAACAATAGTAATCGATTATTTTTCGACGCATTCGTATCTAGTTAATATTTCATAATATTTTTGAAAATTTGAAAATTTACTTTAGTTTGGCGTGTTTAGGCTGTTATTTATGATATTATATAACATTTTGTTTATTAATTTCTAGAGTATTTTTTGTGCTTGTCATGATGTATTTTTTAGCGAAAGTACACGCCAAACAATAAAATATTTTTTCTGTATAATAAACCTGTATAAGTAGTTTCTTCCTATTGATGTCAACAAAGTTTTTTGTAATAAGATCCTGCTGATATGCCATAAAATCAATGTACGCAAATCTAAATAAGATCCTGCTGATATGCCATAAAATCAATGTACGCAAATCTAAATAAGATCCTGCTGATATGCCATAAAATCAATGTACGCAAATCTAAGATTGAATAAGATCCTGCTGATATGCCATACAATCAATGTACGCAAATCTAAATAAGATCCTGCTGTTATGCCATAAAATCAATGTACGCAAATCTAAGATTGAATAAGATCCTGCTGATATGCCATAAAATCAATGTACGCAAATCTAAATAAGATCCTGCTGTTATGCCATAAAATCAATGTACGCAAATCTAAGATTGAATAAGATCCTGCTGTTATGCCATAAAATCAATGTACGCAAATCTAAATAAGATCCTGCTGATATGCCATAAAATCAATGTACGCAAATCTAAGATTGAATAAGATCCTGCTGATATGCCATAAAATCAATGTACGCAAATCTAAATAAGATCCTGCTGATATGCCATAAAATCAATGTACGCAAATCTAAGATTGTATGGACTGTAAGTGTAATTTTATGTGACCCTCCATGCAAAGATGACATTGCCTGATTCACAACGATACCCTTGGAACCGTTATCTGATCAAAATGCTGAAGGATATTGTCGTTTTCTAGATATTCCTATATGTGTTCTAGCAGTAGAAATGCACCAGTGCAAGTCACTGTTTTACAGAAACAACAATTGGAAATATTCAGTTTTCAAAATTCTTTTAATTGATGTAAAGTTCAGACAAAGCTTTTAAGGGTACCGCTGTGAATCGGGCCTTGTCATCTTTGCATGTAGGGTCACTTGAAATTACACATACAGTACATTTAAGAAAATATAATAGAAAGTGTACATGATTTCAAAGACTAAAAGTATAATTAACCTCCAAAAAATTAGAACCAATGAAAATGTAAATCCCTACGGTAATCAATAATAATTCCGAGGATGGCTCAAGAGTTTATTATTGAATTCTTCCTTTAGTAACAAACATATGTTAAAATGTATATATTGCATAGGTTTAAACAAATTTTATTGTAGTTTTAAAATGCTTAAATTTTACCAACAAACAATTATAATTTTTTTAAATATTATAGATTTTCTAAAAAATAACAGTCTAATGACATGTAATACCTTTCTTTGACAGATTTTTGCAAGCACTCTAAAGAACTGGGGCACACATTCAATCCAGAGAATATTTTTTTGTAAATCTTAAATGGTAGTTTTATTGATATAAATTATATTTCATTATATCATTTATGAAAAGACATTTCAGCTGTTTCATGCAATTTAAAACTACCTGAGAGTTAAAGAATTCTAGCCGTGGCTTAAATTTGAGCCGCGGCTCAAGTATAGTTGGTTTCAATAAATTTTTCAAGATTTAAGCCGGCGCTCAATTAAAACCGGTTTTTGGCGTATTTGAGACGCGGCTGAAATTCATTAAATTCGGACACAGATTGAAATTTTATAAACTATTTAGTGCTTTTACTTTTACTTTCAAAAACAATTAAAAACTTATTAAACGCTTTTTTGGGTCTTTTTGCACGTTTAAAACAGAACATAACAAGAAAAATCTTTTGCGAATTTTACACAAACTATGTCCGAATTTAAGCCACGTCTCAAATCCCCCCAAAACCGGTTTCAATTTAATACAATTTTAAGTGGAACCAAGCATACTTGAGCCCGGCTCAAATTATTTAAATTCGGCCTCTGGATTTATAATATTTTGAAGATTTTGTAACAATGTAAATTTTAATTGAATAATATTTATTGAAGTGAGTACCACTCAACATGGTTGATAGTTTAAATACGATCAAGAATGAGACAAAAAAATCACTCTTTTCAAAATAAAAACCTAAAATCGAGAGCAAACCTTTAATTTTTACTATTATTTTTTTATTAAGATTTCCGTAAGTCTTTAATGACTAAAGCACTTTAGGCATAGCTAATATTATACTTGGTCATGTTAAGTGGGACACACTGTAAATTGTTACTGGAAGATCTGATGTAGAAAACAGGTCGGAAACAATGCTCCCACTGTCCACTATCCCCCAACTTAAATAAAATAGATCAAAATAAATTTATTATAGGAGTGCTTAGGATCCGGATGCGTTGGATCCGCTTCATTTTGACTTATATGGATCCGGATCCGCACAAATATAAAAATCCAAGGGGCAAAATATATTAACCAAAAACTGCTAAAATAAATTTTTGCTCTCAAATCTCAACTGTTGAAAAAAGAGAGATTAAAAAATGTCTTTATTTCTGAATGGTTATTATAGTTTTAGCATAAAATATAAGACAAAAGTTTGAAAGTGCTCATATTGTTCAAAAAATAAGTAAATCTTAAAGAAATGTTCATGACGTGGGTCCAGGTCCATTTTTTTCAGGGCGGATCCGTACTCGGATCCGCATAAAAATAAAATCAGGCGTTAGAGGTATATTCTGGAACTCACATAACTTTGTTTACAAATAAACTGTACTTTAGCTCCTGGTATGAATGTGAATAGCACATATATATAGTTCTTAAGCTGACCTTTGTTTATTGTTTAGTCTTCGATCATATATAGATATATTTTATAATATATTTAAATCCAAGAGGTAAATATCTAAAAAAACATTTTCCCCCTCCTCAAAAGTCATCTTTTCTCAGTAAGCTAGGAATGCTTTTTTGATTACTTATTTCGGGGAAAAAACGTAAACAAGTGGGGGGGGGGGGGGGAATCTCACCAGTTTAATACTCAGTTCAGAGGTAAAATCAAAAATATATATATTTGTTGTGGTAACCTGAAGTCTGGAGATTTGATCAACTCATCAAGAGAATTCGGAACATCTAAAAGGGATTGTAAGCGTAATTTAAAGTGACCCCAATGGCAATGTTGTTTATAAAACGTTGCTCTTAAAACCATAATGTGAAAGATATGAGTCATTTTGCTGACTCGAAATGTTTTTATTTATGTGCGTTTCTTCATCTATTCTTATAAGCTAGAAATACGCACGTTACTTTCGCAGAGAAGCTTATACAAATAAAAAGAAACAGTTTTAAGAAACAAAACATAAATATCTAATTTATACTTGACATACAAATCTTTTAAGAGTACCGTTGTAAATCGGGCATTACCATCTTTGCATGAAGGGTCACTTGAAAATACGCTTACACTCCTCTTAATAGGAAAAAGTTTTAATTGCATGATCTCTGATCGTGACATCTTAATCTGATCACGTGACATCTTAATTTGATCAACTCTTCAGCTCGTGAATTAATGATTTTTGTTAGATCTTTAGAATTAATATGTTTAAAGGTACTGTAGAATTAATATGTTTAAAGGTACTGTAGAATTAATATAAAGGAACTGAAGAATTAATATGTTTAAAGGTACTGTATAATTAATATGTTCAAAGGTACTGTAGACTTAATATGTTTAAAGGTACTGTATAATTAATACGTTTAAAGGTACTGTAGAATTAATATGTTTAAAGGTACTGTAGAATTAATATGTTTAAAGGGACTGTAGAATTAATATGTTTAAAGGTACTGTAGAATTAATATGTTTAAAGGTACTGTAGAATTAATATGTTTAAAGGTACTGTAGAATTAATATGTTTAAAGGGACTGTAGAATTAATATGTTTAAAGTGACTGTAGAATTAATATGTTTAAAGGTACTGTAGAATTAATATGTTTAAAGGGACTGTAGAATTAATATGTTTAAAGGTACTGTAGAATTAATATGTTTAAAGGTACTGTAGAATTAATATGTTTAAAGGGACTGTAGAATTAATATGTTTAAAGGTACTGTAAACGTTCAATTAAAGAGTGGTATGTCGGGTTCACAACGGTAATCTTAAAACCTTTTAAAGATTATAATTTTGTAGCTAAAAAAATATATCTCATCCTTCCTTCATCTGACAAAGCTTTAAATGGAGGGTTGCAGGATATTAAGTCAGTACATTCTTATAAAACTCTGTTTCTAACACTAGCTTGGAAATCAAGCTGTGCCAGGTATTTTCCTTATAAAAGTCGACTTAACGTTGAATTTTTAAACCAGACTTAGATTATTCCCGTGGTGTACTGAGTTTCTCATACAAAATTTGAGGTATATTGTTGAAGGGGTTCATGATTTATGTTTATGAGATACAAATAAACAAACACTAGACATCCAACAGAAATTACTGCATCATATGAATAGATAAAAGTATCAATAATTTCATTAATGGAATAATTGCCAGATTACATAAAAATTAAATTATCAACACTTCAAAATTTTGTTGCAAACTGACAAGAGCAGACTAGAGCGGACTAGAGTTGAAATAACGCAATTTTAAAGAATCTTTCATTGAAAATATATATTTGTTATATTTATATGATCACAGCGTTTATATATTTTATTGCAGAGGCCCAATATTTTTATTTGAGACCCCACATTTTATTAAAGACCCTAAGCTTTTCATTAAAGACCCACTTTTTTATAGAGACCCCAATATTTTCATAGAAAACACTATATTTTAATTAGAGACCCCAAATGTTAAGGGAACCATTGAATATTGGATATACCAATTGTGCAGGTATAAAGCCACTCATATACATCAACTTAACAATTTCAATTATTTTATTTACCTGATAGGGGTGGCTGTGTTAGGTTGGCTACTAAACCACTTTTATAAATACTTGTGATTAAAAATCCATAAAATCCAACCTAAAAATAAAATCATATCAGATTTCAAAGTTCGACTTTTTTTTTTTTTTCACTAAAAATATCCTAAATTTGTTAAAGAAAATCAGAGAACCAATAAAACTTTATAGCACCGTCTTAAATATACACTATACAGCTAATTTAAGAGTATGGCACGATGACTTCTACAGCGAAGTGACTGTGTATAGATAAAGTTACAATAGTTTTATAAAAAAATACAAGATTTGTAAAATTTTCAAAAGAATTTTGGGAACAAAAAATATGACAATATTCATACAAAGAAAATAAAGATATAATTTCCAAATATTCAAATATCAAAATTTGATATTTAAAACGTAAATTTCTGTCTTCCTATTTCTTCTTATTTGATCAGAAATGGATTTAATTAATATTACTAAAATATTTAAGCCTCGTGTGACGTATTTGAGCTTATCAAAACTAAAACATATATGTTTCTCTAAAGGAAAAGTAAAGTATAGTATTTTAAAAAAATATATAGATGTTAACTGTATTTCGAGACTAGGGTTGCCACACTCTAAATTAAAAAGTCGAAATTGAGCGATAAAAAGTCCCCTAATCGGGTGAAAAAGTTGGATGGCACCCGATTAGGCGACAAAAAATCGCTTAACATAAAGCGCTTATCTAAAAAAAATCGTTTTATTTTAACAAAAAATCACTTATATTGCAGAAGAAGTTGGTGACTGCCAAATAAGCGACACAAAATCGTTTATTTTTAACAAAAAATCGCTTATTTTTAACGAAATCGCTTATCTTAAAAAATCGTTTTAATTCAACCAAAATATCTCGTATATTAAAAAAAATATCGTTATTTTCAACAAAAAATCGTTTTTATTTAACCAAAAAATCTCTTATACTAAAAAAACTCACTTTTTTCAACAAAAAATCATTTTAATTTAACATCAAAAAGCTGTTATATTCAACAAAAAACTCTTTTCAACAAAAAATTGTTTATATTTAAAAAAAAATTAGCTGTTTCAAAACCAAAAAAACGAACTGTCCCTTTAGTACTTACACCAACCTGAAAACCACAAACTGTCCCTTTAATACTTACCAAAACTAGAAATTCATGAGTTGCCCCTTTAATACTCGCCATCGCTAGAACCCCATGAATTGGCATTTTAATACTTACCAAAACCTGAAATCTACAAATTGTCCCTTTAATACTTACCAAAACCTGAAATCCACAAGTTGTCCCTTTAATACTTACCAAAACCTGAAATCCACAAGTTGTCCCTTTAATACTTACCAAATCCTGAAATCCACAAATTGTCCCTTTAATACTTACCAAAACCTGAAATCCACAAATTGTCCCTTTAATACTTACCAAAACCTGAAATCCACGATTTGTCCCTTTAATACTTACCAAAACTAGAAAACCACGAACTGTTACAGACCGTGGTTTTGCATTTCCATCAACCCCCAGGGTAGAGATTCTAAAATTGAATACTTTTTATATTTTCAATTTATTCGTTCTTGAATTACTAAACCAGTGCTTGATACTAGCTATAGCTTGAGACCCCAGCTTTGTCTGGATTTTTCCTTTGAGAGGTCAACCCACTCTACTTAGAATTTTTAAACAAGGCTAAGAACAATCCCGATAAACTAACGAGTTTCCCAAACACAACTTGAGGCAAATCGGCCAAGGAGTTCAAGAGTTATGATCGGACACACTGCAACCTGTCTCCTGTAATCACTAATCAATGCTTGCTTCCAACATTCGTATTCCAAAATATTGGATTAGCATGAAAATGAGCGAAAAAAGGGAAAATATCTGTCATGGATGCAAAGCTCTCTATCACCTTTACGCGAAGCCGAGGCGTCATGGAAATTTATCCGACTATTGTGTGCGCCTGGTACAGCTGTATTTTGACGTCATTGGTTATATACTTTAAACCAAAAGTAAATGGTCTAAGGGACTGATAGATGTAATTTCAAGTTACCAACCCATTAAAGGTCCTATAATCAACAACGGTACCAATTAAACATTTATTTGGGTAACAATGAGAAAGATATCGTCGTTATTTCAACTTAAAAAGTGATAAATTCTGTAAATTATGTTCATTGTCATTCCACTAGTCACTTTTATGAACTATGGACAAATTAAATATTTCAAGATAGAAAAACTAAAGTGGTCTCCTTGTTTTGTTTTGATAACTATTTAATCTATTACAAAAGACAACATTATGAAACGTCAACAGGGAAATACATACTTGATTTCTGTAGAAGACGACATTAGTTACTATCTTTGTCTACTCGAGAAAATGCGTCAAATTTGCGTAGATTTTCTGATGCCCTATCCTATCTCCATAGAGAATAGAATATATATTAGAGGGGATATTAGAGAATCTCTCGGTAAGAATTTTTTCAGTCCCTTTCAGCCTGAAAGGGAGTTCAAAGTGTACAAATCATGTAAATGTTCACAAATGATATGCAGTAGAGTACATTAATACAGTATGTTCCCTAGACTATTCATTTCAATTTCGAATTTTTTAAAGCTTTTAAATAAACTTTATAATGAATTAGGTGAATAAAAAACATCATTTGAATTATAGTTATAACGGAAAATCATCGTTTGTAAAGTGAAAGGCATTGAGTCTATGTGAAATGATCATTGGTAAATTATTTGGTTTTCTTTTAAGTTTAATTTTAGATTTTCTATAAAATGATATTCCAGGGCCCAGAAGGTTATATAACATGAATATGTGAAGTACACCTGTAGTATGGAAACAGAACAACAATATGGCCGTTTTAAACTTTGTCTAGTAAATTCCCCTCTAATATATATTCTATTCTCTTTAACTATCTCTAATTGGCAAAGTCTTTGCCTTTACGTAAGCATGACACAACAGCATTTACATTTTTTTTAAATAGGAAATTTCCCAAAAACCTTGGCATTTGGGAAATTTCCCAGATACCCAGGCATTTGGGAAATTTCCCAGATACCCAGGCATTTGGGAAATTCCCCAAATTCCTGTAGGTATTTGAGGGTGGTATATTTTTAAGATTTTGGAAATTTCTCAAATGACTGGATATTTGGGAAATTTCCCAGATACCCAGCATTTGGGAAATTTCCCAGATACCCAGATATATGGGAAATTTCCCAGATACCCAGGCATTTGGGAAATTTCCCAGCTACCCAGGCATTTGGGAAATTCCCCAAATGCCTGGGTATCTTTAAAATTTCCAGTCATTTGAGAAATTTCCAAAATCTTAAAAATATACCATCCTCAAATTTCTGCAGGTATTTGGGAAATTTCCCAGATTCCCAGGCATTTGGGAAATTTCTCAGATACCCAGGCATTTGGGAAATTTCCCAGATACCCAGGCATTTGGGAAATTTCCCAGATACCCAGGCATTTGGGAAATTCCCCATATTTCTATAGGTATTTGAGGGTGGTATATTTTTTATGTCACTTTGCCTAACTTAATATCACTAATAATATTTTCATGTACAATTTCTAAATTTCCCCCATTTTTTCTAAATAATTTTTCTAAATAATAATAATAAATAGGGATTATTTAGAAAAATAAGATTCACTATAATTTCATGCATTTAAGAAAATATTGTTATTTTGGCCTAAACAAAGGAACGCAGACTAAACAATACTTTTACTTATTTACAAAAGAAGTGTATTTAAGCTTAATTATTATTATTAAAGATTAATGTTTCCAGAGCCAGCGATTTAAAAAATTCAAGAAAATACGACTTGGGTCTAAGCTGTTGTTGAGCCTTATTTACGGCTCGGGCTTTCGAATTTAAGTTGCATCTATTTTTCAACAGAATTTAGTTCTTAAAACCGGTTTAATGTTGTTTTTGGCGGATTTTCATAGTTGGAATTGGTGCATTCCGAGTTTTGATGAGAATAAGACCCAAATTGAGCCTTATTCTCCACTAAAACCAACCAAGGTCGGTTTTATTTTCATTGGGCCTAACTCCTCAAGTCGAGCCTAAGATCTCGCAGCTGTCAATCACGTGACACAAGCTGTCGTCAGAGTTGGGTCTAAGATTGGGTCTTAAAGCTGCGTTTAAGGAATTAAGACTCGAGCCGAAGCTTTTAAATCGCGGGCTCAGTCATGTTATTAATTACAATAACTTTAAGATTGATGTTTGTCCCATTAGCAGTAGGTAAAGCAAATATGGTCTGCTTGATTGTAGCCTCTTATAGTATCCCATGCTGGCTAGCCGCCTTATCCTTAAAGATTGTATGGGTGGGAACCCCTGCTTGTTGAAACAATTCCTCGTCCTCCTCCATCTTATCAAAGATATTGCTGTCCTCCTGCAGTAACTGAGTCAGGCTGAGAATTTCTGGGAGTGTTTCTCCATTCCCACCAATGCTGGACACCTTTTTGTCAGTGTCCTCTATCCCGGGCTTAGTGGTGTTGTTTACACCAGTGACACAGAGCCTGTTGGCCATTCCCAAGATGGCAGGCCTACTGGAAGAGATGTACTCCTGACTCATGGACGCATTTTTCCAACCAAAGAAATCTACCAGCTACTCTGTTGTGGCCCATACATCGGCTGCCCTGGTGGCACTGGTCCTCCTGAAGGAATGGAAAGTGTACTCAGAAGGGTCAGGTAGCTTGAGAAGAGCAGCAATCTCGTGGGGCACCTTGAACACAGAGTTCTTGCCCATGTGCTGGGTTGTCAACATCTCAGTCTCCAAATTACGCAGTAATAGAGATTGCCTGCCTCACCTCCCAGTAGGCTGTGTCCAGCTTCTTCATCCAGAACTTCTTGAGGTCCTTAACAACAATATTATATAGAATTAAAATTTTAATAAACCACAAAAAGTCTAGTAAAGGAATTGAGTTTTTGCCACAAATGCTTTTTTTCTAATCTTTGTTCCTTAACAACCTGACGTTGTAGACCTTTGATATGTAAAATTATGATTTCTGCCAGTTCAAATAATCTAAGTTTGGCATTGCAAAGGTTTAAACATTCAGTTTGCAAAGATATATGGATTAGAATATTTAAGTTTCTGGCAAAGACTCAATTTCTTTAATTTAAACGTCAAAACAAAACAAAAAAGACTTTTCAAAACAAAAGTTAAATCTTAACATAGTGACACCTAGAAAACTCTATAATGAACGACAACGTCATAGCAAAACTATATTTGAAGATATAATTAAATATTGTTACTAGACACTAATTAAAGTCATAACTTGAGTCTTAAAGTCGTCTTCCTAGTTTTCTGGTTATCATTTTTATATCATTACATTAAATCACTCACCTCCTCTTCAAATATAGCGGCCTTATGCTTAATACCTTCCTCAACCCCCTTCATCGTCATTGTGATTCTGGGAAGGGTCTGAAGCTTCCAGCCATACTTTCTCTTCATGACACTGTTGATGTAGTAGTAGTTGCCATTTTTTTCTCCAGTTTTAGATGTTTAAAATAGACAATAATAGCCTCCTCTTCAGGGTGGCCTTCCTCGAATTCAAAATCGATATTGAAGTTTTTAAAATCCTTCCAGGACTTAACATAGGCCATTCTGCTCTTGTCCTTAATCAGGGGTTCATTGAAGAATGAGTTTGAAATCAGATTTGCGTATTTTCTTGGCAAGTTTTGTGAATTTTGCGCTATCAAAAAAACAATTTATTTCATTAAAATAATTTTAAAATTTAAAATTTTTTCTTAACACATCCCAAATAGATGGTATGTGATCGCAATGTGACATAAAATTTCCAATGTACTTCTGATTTAATATTTTGGAAATTTCTCAAATGACTGGATATTTGAGGAATTTCCAAAAAACCCAGGCATTTGGGAAATTTCCCAGATACCCAGGCATTTGGGAAATTTCTCAGATACCCAGGCATTTGGGAAATTTCCCAGATACCCAGGCATTTGGGAAATTTCTCAGATACCCAGGCATTTTGGAAATTTCCCAGATACCCAGGCATTTGGGAAATTCCCCAAATTCCTATAGGTATTTGAGGGTGGTATATTTTTAAGATTTATTTGGGAAATTTCCCAGATACCCAGGCATTTGGGAAATTTCCCAAATTCCTGTATGTATTTGAGGGTTGTATATTTTTAAGATTTTGGAAATTTCTCAAATGACTGGATATTTGGGAAATTTCCCAGATACCCAGGCATTAGGGAAATTTCCCAGATACCCAGGTATTTGGGAAATTTCCCAGATACCCAGGCATTTGGGAAATTTCCCAGCTACCCAGGCATTTGGGAAATTTCCCTGATACCCGGGCATTTGGGAAATTCCCCAAATGCCTGGGTATCTTCAAAATTTCCAGTCATTTGAGAAATTTCCAAAATCTTAAAAATATACCACCCTCAAATATCTGCAGGTATTTGGGAAATTTCCCAGATACTAAGGCATTTGGGAAATTTCCCTGATACCCAGGCATTTGGGAAATTTCCCAGATACCCAGGCATTTGGGAAATTTCCCAGATACCCAGGAATTTGGGAAATTTCCCAGATACTCAGGCATTTGGGAAATTCCCCAAATTTCTATAGGTATTTGAGGGTGGTATATTTTTTATGTCACTTTGCCTAACTTAATATCACTAATAATATTTTCATGTACAATTTCTAAATTTCCCCCATTTTTTCTAAATATTTTTTCTAAATAATAATAATAAATAGGGATTATTTAGAAAAACAAGATTCACTATAATTTCATGCATTTAAGAAAATATTGTTATTTTGGCCTAAACAAAGGAACGCAGACTAAATAATACTTTTACTTATTTACAAAAAAAGTGTATTTAAGCTTAATTTTTATTATCAAAGATTAATGTTTCCAGTCATGTTATTAATTACAATAACTTTAAGATTGATGTTCGTCCCATTAGCAGTAGGTAAAGCAAATGTGGTCTGCTTGATTGTAGCCTTTAGTATCCCATGCTGGCTAGTCGCCTTATCCTTAAAGATTGTATGGGTGGGAACCCCTGCTTGTTGAAACAACTCCTCGTCCTCCTCCATCTCATCAAAGATATTGCTGTCCACCTGCAGTAACTGAGTCCGAATGAGAATTTCTGGGAGTGTCTCTCCATTCCCACCAATGCTGGACACCTTTTTGTCAGTGTCATCTATCTTGGGCTTAGTGGTGTTGTTTACACCAGTGACACAGAGCCTGTTGGCCATTCCCAAGATGGCAGGCCTACTGGAAGTGATGTACTCCTGACTCATAGACGCATTTTTCCAACCAAAGAAATCTACCAGCTGCTCTGTTGTGGCCCATGCATCAGCTGCCCTGGTGGCGCTGGTCCTCCTGAAGGAATGGAAAGTGTACTTTAAAGGGTCAGGTAGCTTGAGAAGAGCAGCAATCTCGTGGGGCACCTTGAACACAGAGTTCTTGCCCATGTGCTGGGTTGTCAACAACTCAGTCTCCAAATTACGCAGTAATAGAGATTGCCTGCCTCACCTCCCAGTAGGCTGTGTCCAGCTTCTTTATCCAAAACTTCTTGAGGTCCTTAACAACAATATTATATAGAATTAAAATTTTAATAAACCACAAAAAAAGTCTAGTAAAGGAATTGAGTTTTTGCCACAAATACTTTTTTCTAATCTTTGTTCCTTAGCAACCTGACGTTGTAGACCTTTGATATGTAAAATTATGATTTCTGTCAGTTCAAATAATCTAAGTTTGGCATTACAAAGGTTTAAACCTTCAGTTTGCAAAGATATATGGATTAGAACATTTAAGTTTCTGGCAAAGACTCAATTTCTTTAATTTAAACGTCAAAACAAAACAAAAAAGACTTTTCAAAACAAAAGTTAAATCTTAACATAGTGATACCTAGAAAACTCTGTAATGAAAGACAACGTCATAGCAAAACTATATTTGAAGATATAATTAAATATTGTTACTAGACACTAATTAAAGTCATAACTTGAGTCTTAAAGTCGTCTTCCTAGTTTTCTGGTTATCATTTTTATATCATCACATTAAATCGCTCACCTCCTCTTCAAATATGGCGGCCTTATGCTTAATACCTTCCTCAAACCCCTTCATCGTCATTGTGATCCTGGGAAGGGTCTGAAGCTTCCAGCCGTACTTTCTCTTCATGACACTGTTGATGTAGTAGTAGTTGCCATTTTTTTCTCCAGTTTTAGATGTTTAAAATAGACAATAATAGCCTCCTCTTCAGGGTGGCCTTCCTCGAATTCAAAATCGATATTGAAGTTTTTAAAATCCTTCCAGGACTTAACATAGGCCATCCTGCTCTTGTCCTTAATCTGGGCTAAGACTTCATCATCGGCGTAGATCTTCTTTCTCTCGTCCATCTTTACACTTATATGAACGTCTTCTCAGCTCAGGGGTTCATTGAAGAATGAGTTTGAAATCAGATTTGCGCATTTTCTTGGCAAGTTTTGTGAATTTTGCGTTATCAAAAAAACAATTTATTTCATTAAAATAATTTTAAAATTTAGAATTTATTCTTAACACATCCCAAATAGATGGTATGTGATCGCAATGTGACATAAAATTTCCAATGTACTTCTGATTTAATGTTTTGGAAATTTCTCAAATGACTGGATATTTGGGGGATTTCCCAGATACCCAGGCATTTGAGAAATTTCCCAGATACCTAGGCATTTGGGAAGTTTCCCAGATACCCAGGCATTTGGGAAATTCCTATTTTTGACATTTTTGATAATTGCTGTCACTCCCTCGAAATTGTAGAAATTTTTATTTACATTGAATAATATATATCATACAGTTAAACGCTAAATAAGCCATACATCTAAAAAATATGTAAAATGTCGTCTTGACAATTTTTAATGGGTTTTATACTATTTTAAGTAAATCTCAGTAATTGCGAAAATAAATATATAGCTAGCCCTGAATATGCTGGAACAGTTTTAAAGAGCCCCATATAATCATTTAATTAAAAACTAAATATCTGTAACCTTCCAAAGAATACGACATTTGATCAATTCTTTTGATGTATTTAATATTTAGGATTTAATTGTATTAAGTTGAAATCTTGTTTTTCCGATCATAACTCAGGAACCCTTGGACCGATGTGCTTCAAATTTTGATTGGGGAACTCGGGATAACCAAGGGAATGTTCTTAGCCCATGAGGTTATGAGATTCTACAGGGTGTCCCAAAAAACATGGGAATTCAGTGACGAATTCGATATCGTCTTTATGAATAATTCTTTGATTTAGTATAGTGATACCTACTGAGAAAGCTGTAATCTGTAAGAGTTTCGTCTGCTATGTTTACATTTTGTTTGTTTATGTTTTGACTGCAACCGGTTGTACTTAGTAAAACAAGAAAATTACAGTATACAACCAGAGTAAACTTGTCCATATTCACTGTTCATCTTGCGGAGACATTATAGACACATCTTTTCAGTCTTTTACCCTTTTCATTAAATAAACTCTAGCAGACATAATAATATTATGGCTTTTGAAATTAGGAATTACAATGCTAATTCATAACAAAGACGATATCGAATTCGTCACTGAATTCCCATGTTTTTTGGGACACCCTGTAAGTTGAGTGGGTCCACTTTTATCCGGGGAAAAACTACGTAATTCACGACCAAGTGCATGAAAAACGGCGGGAGTAACTCTGAGTACCATGCAGGGCAACGCTGGGTTCCCAAGGTAGTATCTAATATGATTTAAAATTAATTGTGAAAAAAAACCTTAATTAAAGACTTAATTTTATGTGAGCCTCCAAGCAGGTCCGATTTACATCGCTACTTTTTAACCTTAGTCTAATCTAGCTTTATGTGACTTATCTTTGTTTTAACAACTTAAAAGCGATTATTTTAAAATGTGGCTTCTCTATAAAATTAACTTGCGAATTTAAACCACTTCGAAATGGAAATTGTTAGAACACGTATTTTGAAGAACCGTGATAATTTATTATTGTTTAAAGACCTTTGAGTATCTGACATGGGACTCTATAAATGTAGGGTCACTTGAAATTACATCTGCAGTCCATTTAGTAATAAGCATATAGTGTACATTCTGCTATTGCTTGTAGATTTTGAAGAATACTGGCATTATTAAACTTCTTGATATTAATTAGAATATAGAACTTGATAAACCTACATGCATAATATAGCAACCCTTCTGTCAATCAAAGTTTAGAATTTGTCATGTTGCCCGTGGAACAAAGTGTGCGTGTGTTTGCGTGGGTGTGAATGGGTGGCAGGGCGGCTTGTAATTAGTGACCACTAGACCCACTGATCGGCACCTCGGGGTATACACTCCTCCAGACACACCCTGTAATTAGAAGTAAACAGGAGCAATGGATTCAATACACAAATCATCTTATGGATCTTTACCGGTCATTCTTTTCCAATCAGAGTCTATCCTTTCATCCTTTCGTCGTTTCATCCTTTCGTCGTTTTATCCTTTCATACTTTTGTCCTCTTGCCCTTTCGTCCTTTCCATCCTTTCCTAGTACCCCTCTAACCTTATCTACCGTAGTGTCCTTCAATCCTTTCCTTATAACTTTCTATCATTTCTCAGTATACCTTGATCTATCCTTTCTGGTACCTAACTATCCGTTCCTAGTACCATTCTATCCTTCTCTAGTACCCTTTCATTCTTTCCTAGTACCCTTTCATCCTTTCCTAGTACCCCTCCATCCTATCCTAACAGTGGTATCCTTCCCTAGTACCTTTCCATCCTTTCCTAATAGTGGAACCTTCCATCCTTTCCTAGTACCCTTCCATCCTTTCCTAGTAACCTTCCATCCTTTCCTAATAGTGGTACCTTCCATCCTTTCCTAGTACCCTTCCATCCTTTCCTAGTAACCTTCCATCCTTTCCACCCTTCCATCCTTTCCTAGTACCCTTCCATCCTCTCCTAATAGTGGTATCTTTCCTAGTAACCTTCCATCCTTTCCTAATAGTGGTACCTTCCATCCTTTCCTAGTACCCTTCCATCCTTTCCTAGTAACCTTCCATCCTTTCCAAGTACCCTTCCATCCTTTTCTAGTAACCTTCCATCCTTTCTTATTACTCTTCCATCCATTCCTAGTAACCTTCCATCCTCTTCTAATAGTAGTATCCTTCCCTAGTACCCTTCCATCCTTTCCTAATAGTGGAACCTTCCATCCTTTCCTAGTACCCTTCCATCCTTTCCTAGTAACCTTCCATCCTTTCCAAGTACCCTTTCATCCTTTTCTAGTAACCTTCCATCCTTTCCTAGTACTCTACCATCCTTTCCTAGTAACCTTCCATCCTTTCCTAGTACTCTTCCATCATTTCCTGGTACCCTTCCATCCTTTCCTAGTAACCTAACATCCTTTCCTAGTACCCTTTCATCCTTTCCTAGTACCCTTCCATCCTTTCCTAGTACCCTTCTATCCTTTCCTAGTACCTTTCTATTCTTTCCTGGAACTCTTCCATCCTTTCCTAGTACCCTTCTATCTTTTCCTAGTACCCTTTCATTCTTTCCTAGTAGTAGTATCCTTCCTAGTAACCTTAAATCCTTTCTTAGTACCATTATATCCTTTACTGGTACCATACTGTCCTTTCCTAGAACCCTTTCATTCTTTCTGGTAGTAGTATCCTTTCATCCCTTTATAATACTCTTTTTTCCTTTCATAGTAACCCTTTCATACTTTTCTAGTACTTTTACGTTCTTGTCTAGCACCCTTTCATCCTTTCTTAGTAGCCTTAAATCTTTTCCTGGTACAATTCTATCCTTTCCTAGTACCCTTCTTTAATTTCCTAATACTCTTCAATCCTTTCCTAGTAGCCTAACATTCTATCCTAGCACCTTTCTATCCTTTTTTAGTACCATTCTATCCTTTCCTAGTACCCTTCTATCCTCTCCTAATAGTGGTATCTTTTCCTAGTACCCTTCCATCCTTACCTAATAGTGTTTCCTTCCATCCTTTCCTAGTACCCTTCCATCCTTTCCTAGTAATCCCACACACCATATTCACCTTCATATAATGTTAAATTTTGATTGTATACAAACGATTAAACATCTTTTCAAAGTTTCGCTTTTTCCCTTTTATACTTTTTATTTTGCTTTATATCTCTCTATCTTTTTTAAACTGTATATCTCCATATATGCATCTTTTTTAAACTGTATATCTCCATATATGCATCTTTTTTAAACTGTATATCTCCATATATGCATCTTTTTTAAACTGTATATCTCCGTATATGCATCTTTTTTAAACTGTATATCTCTCCATCTTTTTTTAACTTTATGTTTCTCCATCTTTTTTAAACTTTATATTTTTCCATCTTATTTAAACTTTATATCTTTCCATCTTTTTTAAACTTTATATTTCTCCATCTTTTTCAAACTTTATATTTCTCCATCTTTTTTAAACTGTATAACTCTCCATCTTTTAAACTTTATATTTCTCCATCTTTTTCTAACTTCATATTTCTCCATCTTTTTTAAACTTTATATCTTTCCATCTTTTTTAAACTTTATATTTCTCCATCTTTTTCAAACTTTATATCTTTCCATCTTTTTTAAACTTTATATTTCTTCATCTTTTTCAAACTTTATATTTCTCCATCTTTTTTAAACTCTATAACTCTCCATCTTTTTAAAACTTTATATTTCTCCATCTTTTTCTAACTTCATATTTCTCCATCTTTTTTAAACTTTATATTTCTCCATCTTTTTCAAACTTTATATCTTTCCATCTTTTTCTAACTTCATATCTCTTTTAAACTTTATATTTCTCCATCTTTTTTAAACTTTATATCTTTCCATCTTTTTTAAACTTTATATCTTTTCTTTTTTAAACTTTATATTTCTCCATCTTTTTCAAACTTTATATCTTTCCATCTTTTTCTAACTTCATATCTCTTTTAAACTTTATATTTCTCCCTCTTGTTTAAACTTTATATTTCTCAATCTTGTTTAAACTTTATAACTCTCCATCTCATTCAACCTTTATATATCTCAATCTTTATAAAACTTATGTTTCTTCATCTCTTTCCAACTTTATGTCTCTCCATCACTTTTAAAGTTTATATCCCTCCATCTTTTTAAATTTTATAACCCTTCATCTTTTTAACCTTTACATCTCTCCATTTTTTCAAACTTTATATCTCTTCATCTCTTTTCCAAATTTATATCTCTCCATCTATTTTTCAAAATTATATCTCTTCATCTCTTTCCAACTTTATACCTCTCCATCTCTTTTCCAAATTTATATCTCTTCATCTCTTTTCCAAATTTATATCTCTTAATCTCTTTTCCAAATTTATATCTCTTCATCTCTTTTCCACTTTATATCTCTCCATCACTTTTAAACCTTATATCTCTCCATCACTTTTAAACCTTATATCTCTCCATCTTTTTTTCAACCTTATGCCTCTCCATCTTTTTCAACCTTTATATTTCTTTATCTATTCCCAACTTTTCCTTTTTCCTACACTTGTTCCTTTCTCTTTCCATTTTTTCTACTTTGTCGGTTCAGAAATAAAATCCTCTTTTATTAATTTATCTGATCTTTAACTTTCTTATTTCTAAGATATTTACGCCGACATTAGTCGGAATCCTTCTCAACTATTCTGTATTGTACTGAGGGTTGTACTGTATTGTACTGAGTGTTATACA